CTAGTTCAGCCTAGCACACATTTGTGTTTCTGTGACCCTCAGGAAGCCCTACTGTTTTCAATGCAGCAAAAAATCCCACAGAAACTGGGTCATTTTCAGTCACTGCCCACCAAATAAAAGGGGGAGGGGGCTATAGGACAGCCAATTCAAAAATACCTTACATCGGTCCTATCGTAAAACTGGGAGCCTAAACCCTAGAAGGACAAGATGCTACGGTGAATTTATGGAGCTTTAAACATTACAGTCCAGGCAGCCAACTTTGCAAGTCATCCTCAGAACCAACTAACATATTTTACCACTAACATAGCCAGCAGAGCATAAATGTGAGCAAGCAGGCAGCCCCACAATTGTGTGTATTGCATGCTTTTCAGTAAAATCCTTTCCCTAGCATTTCCTTTATTTTTATTCCAAAACATAAGAGCTCAATATTTTCACTTATGTGCTCAGTCTTTAAAGGGTGGATCAAATCCTTTGCTTTTGCATAGCTACATTTTAAAGAAATTTCATAAAGGCAGCTATTATATAAAAAATGTTTGATATGTTTGCAAAAAGGAATAACTATTCCCCCAAACCAAAAACCTTTAGCATGCTATGCTCCTATTTTACAAAATCTGTATATGAAAGGTTATACCATATAAATAGTTGTTTACAAGTCTAAAGATGAATGAGTTTCTAGGACAGGAAACAAACCATTACTGAGATATATTTAATTTCATTTTCAAACAAAAACAAAAAAACCTTGCTTGAAAATATAAAATTAAATTGAGCCATGTTTCCAAAGACAAGAGTAATTAAATCAGGAAATTAAGCAGCTGGTAGCACTGCTGCCTGGTAGATTCAAAAACCTCTAAGACACTGCCTGGGACAGCTGACCCCCAGGTTGCAGCTTACCTGGATGCATCTGTTCTGTGCTGCTCCGCAGTTTGCTGTAGCCATGGCTCAAGGGCACCCTCTGATAATGAGGCGGGGAAGAAGGAGGGGAGGCGAGGGGTGACATCGTGGGAGACTGTGCTTCCTGCTTCAAAGAACCAGAGCAGAGTTCAGAGGCAACCACTTGAGAAGACTGGCATTCTGAGCTGCGGTTAGGAAGCAGAGCACAACTCTATGGCCAGTGACCCGGCTAATTTAACAAATGGGAGAAATGTTTCCTCAAAAAAATGCAGCAAGGTTAAAAGGCAGTGTCTGAGGATTCAAAAGTCTCTCAGAGAACAAAGTCTCACCTGTGTTACTTAAATCATTAAAACAAGCCTGAAACTCTTTCAGTTATTCTAATAATATTTTCCTTTAAAAAAATGAAAGACACTGACCATATGAAATAACATTCATTCTCCCCAATTGTGATTTCTTTGTGGATAGATTCAATGTTCATTCATTAATAAAGACTTCTATTTCCTGGATTTACACTTATCAAGTCTTCCAGCAAATGTGAATAATGAAATAAATATATATATATAATTAGTTCATTATAGACATTATAGTTATACATACTATTGGGGTTCATTTTGACATAATCTCACATGCATGGAATATAATTTGCTTCAGCTCAGTTTCGAGTAGTTCCTTCCTCTTTCCCTTCCCTCCTCCCTCCCCCTGTTCCCCTTTCTCTACTCTATTGGTCTTCCTTCTATTTATTTATAGTTTTTTAAATTGGTACTTTATAGATATTAAAAGTGAAATTCACATTGGTATATTCATATACGCACATAGCATAACTTGATCAATTTCACTCTACTGTTCCTCCCTATCTAACCCTAACCCTAACCCTCCCCTTCTATTCTCTTCCTTGACTCCACTGATCTCCCTTCTATTTTAAATTTATATTTTAAATCCTTAATGCTAAATATTCTTGGAGCTTACTCTGCCAATGTAAAATGTTAGCATTTTTACTTTCTTTTACACTAAGAGACTGCAAACAATACATTACTGCTAAACCACTCTGACTAGACTTCTCCTAAATACTAGGATGAAGCCTTCACAAGCTATAATTTGAATCCCAATTCGAATATGAACCTGATATAGGACCCTAGGCAAGGTGAACAACCTGATATGATGCTGGGTTTCCTCCTCCTCCTCTTCTTTTTTTTTTTGTTTTTGTTCGTTTGTTTGTTCTCTCAAACACTACCAATAAAGTAGTAACTTTGTGATACCCAAATAATAAGGGAACAGTGTTTTTTTGTTTTTTTTTTTTTTTCAAAACACAGAGACTACTGGCTTCCTTAGTCTAAAGAGATATATACAATCTGAGCTACTGAACAAATACTTTTTTTAAAAAAGGGGGGAGGGATATATTTGCTTTGAAGTGTATGCTCATACCCAGAGAATGGTTATGACCCCAGCCTCAAGTGAAAGGATAAGCCTTCATTCACACAGCCAGGGGACCAGGCCTGGAAATTTCCCTTGGTATCAACCACTGTGTGATTGGGGATCTTCATTCCTCTCCAAATGTTGGCAGGGAGACATGTCAAAAAATATTGACTAGAAATTCCTACACCACCCTTTTTAAATATATCCTTGAAGAGCTAGTTTAAAATGTGTCAGAAGCAATAGTAGATGCAATTAACAGGATGTGCTACAGCTCCCTTAACTATAAATATAATATTTCTGCAGCAATGCCTCAGATATTCAACATCATCAAGGTGAGCCATAAGTTAATCCTCCGATATAATCCTTTAATGTCCATTAAATTTAAAATTTTTGATTCAAGTCTTCCTAAAATATACCATATTTCTTTAACATGTAGAAAACACTATGTCAAATATAATTTGACTTCTCTATGTGGTTCAGATTCCTTATCAGAAATATGAGCTCTTGCCTTGGTGTCCTCAGGGTTTACTCATGTGTAGACTATTTATCTCTTCTTAATAGGCCCATTCTTCTGAGATTTCATATTTTTGTCTCTACCAATTAACATCTGACTATTGCAATTAGTGGCCTAATTTTAAAAGCCCATTCTCCCTATTCTGGTTCCAAACCTGCTAAATGGGTAATAGCAGCACTCTTCAAGATGGCATTCCAAACATGTCCCCTTGAAAGGATTCCCTGGTGTAAGGAACATAGTAAACACAGATCTCCAGGTCTCTTCACAGCAGTACTTCTTAGGGTCTGTAATGTGCCAACATGCACTATGAATTTCCAAGACTGAGAGCTAAAACTTTCCCCCCAAAATGAGATAAGAAACTGCATTCTCCAAACATATTACCCAGCAAAACCTTTTCTCCAGACTTCTTTTTTGGAAGAAAGGGCCTATTAACTCCTAGAAGCTACATTTCAAAGAACCCAGTAAGAAAACTGATGACCTAGAGAAAGCAAATAAATGTATTAAATCAGTAGCCTTATTTTAGATACAATTCTACACTTAAGTAGGCTCTAAAGGGCCCCTGGGTGACTCATGGTAATTCCTATGCGTCACACTCTTTTTCTTGCTACAAGGAAACTTTACTGGCTCACTTCCAAGTCTATAATTGTGTTCCAGATGGTGAGATTTGCTGGAAGCTTAACAACCAACATGAGGCCCTGCTATGAGAAGTTTCAGGATCGGAATCAAATGGACATGCCTAATTGGATTGTTTACCTGTTTATCCTCATCGTCCATTCTTTTGAAGGAATTTTTATCCGCGGTTAAATATGGAATCTGAACCTTAGTTCCATGCAGCTCAGCCGGGTTCCCAAATCGCATCTCGCCATCGTTCTTTGACATCATAAAGCGAGGCAGAGGCAGTTCTTTAGGACCAAAAAGAGAGAAGCTCAAGTGAGGCTTTAATTTAAAACTGCAAAAAAAGGGGAATTCAATGGCCAAAAAGATGAATCATTTTTGAGGAAAAAATTCAGAACACCAAATATAGATTCAATTAGGCACAATGAGGATTCATAACAATATCATGATAGAAAAATGCTATGACTTTAACCAAGGTATTCTGGCTTAACACCTTTCAATGCTGTTGAATCATTGCAAAACAAATTCAGGAATGACCTCCTATTTCGTCCTATAGTTCAGTGCCAAGGAAAAAAAAAGATATGACATTGTATAAATACAGTAAGTGACAAATGGTATCAAGTAAAACTTACACAATGCTCAAATATGCCAAATGCAGTGTTCAGGAACTGCAAATATTAACTCAGTTAATCCCACAGAAACTCTGTAAGATATAGCTATCATTATCAATACCCTTTATAGATATGAAAACTGGCATGAAAGAGCTCAAAAGTGTCCCCAAGATCACAAAGCTTCATCTTTGAATGAGCCATGTTTTGAACCCAAGAAAGCTGGTCCTTAACCAGGACTCTACATCAAGGTCTCCTATTCCTAGGGCAAACTTACTGGGTAGAACAATTTTTCACTCAATGTAATTCTTTTTTATGTAATTTTTTTTTTATTTTTATATGACAGCAGAATGCATTACAACTTTTATTACATATAAAGAGCACAATTTTTCATATCTCTGGTTGTATACATAGTATATTCACACCAATTCGTGTCTTCATACCTGTACTTTGGATAGGAATGATCATCACATTCCATCACCATTAATTACCCCATGCCCCCTCCCTTCCTAAAAAACCAAATGCCAAATGTTTTATTTGATATAAGGAGGCTGATTCGTAGTGGGATAGGGAGCGGGAGCATGGGAGGAATAGATGAACTCAATGAAATTCTTTAAGGAACTTTCATATTCAATCTCTATTTGTCTATACAAAAAAAAAATTTTTTTTGTTACTATCCATTAGCCATGTCATCTTGCATTTACACAGGAATTAATTTCCCAAACAGATTTTATATTCGTGTTCTTACTGAAGCTCATAACATCCCTAAAGGACACTGTGACTGTATGTTAAAAGAGGCAAGAAAACAATGGTTCAGAGAAGTTAAATGGCTTGCCCAAATTCATGTAGCTAGTCACAGAATCCCAGACCTTCTGATTCCAATCCAAAACTCTTTCCATCATGTCATCCCTGCTTCTCTCTGCCAGTTTACAGTCTCTCTAGTTCAGCCTAGCACACATTT